TTTTCTTCTCCCTGATGCTTGGCCTTGTTTTATTAGCTAGAACAAGGCTGTTTAGCTCAGAGTGAAGGCTCTGTGAATATATCTTGTATTCAGGTCAATCTAAACTAAACTCAAAATAACTCGGTTTTTTAGACCCCTTAAAATCAAGAAGGCTTTACGACACCTTGTGAAGCTTTGGCAACCCCTACTGGGGATCCTGATCTCCAGGTTGGGAACCATTGCTCTATAAGGGCACATTTTGTTCAGAAAGTATTGAGGTTCCATACCCTGCCCTAAATCAGAGTGAGGCCAAACACAGAGAATGGATAGGGCACACAGATGAATGTAGTATATAAACACACATTTCTCCTCACCAGGGGGAGGTGGTGGATGTCCAGTATGGCAGTGTGGATGACCTGAGGAGAGCCAAAGACCGCCTGAACCTCACCAACCAGATTGCCATGGTCAAGCTTGGCCAAGCGCCTTTGCTATACAAGGTAAGATGAAATCAAAGCTCTGCAGAGTGCCACTGCTCTGCTCTGCTGATACGTAGATACTACACCTGTACTTGAGATCTACCCGATACTATAATCCTGCAGGAGGAATATTCACCCACTGATGAATGAGATCTTTTGATCTTTTAAATAAGTGCAAGTGCAAGATATGACAAAAAAAATCAGTTCCTAAAATGAGTGTGGGTATACTTTCATGCTACAGCTCACTAAACCTTTGAAGAAACCAACTCCAGCCTCCTGCACAGGAATTTGTACACTGAACTGGGCCTTGTGTATATGGCTAGTCATGCATCACAAATTCTTTTAATTATTTTTGCCATAAATGTATTATATCTGACTCCTGTATCTGCAACTTTTCAGTGCAAAGATGTCTGAATGCATTTTTATAGGAAAGAACATTAGCGATGCATTGATTGATTAGGCCTGTTCCCGCTTGGATGTGTGCCACGTTTAGCTCAAAGCAGTTTTCCTATCAATTAGAATATGACAGAGAAAATATAAATTCCAACCCAGTTAATCAAAGCATAAACATCCACTTACATTTTAATTACTGATGAATGTATCTTCACTTTCTATTAAATTAACAGTAATTCAATTACACAAACCTGAATACAAACTCCATGTGGACTGTAATATTGAGTAATGGAAATGTATACTGTACATGGCTTCTGACACAATTATATCAATGTATGTCAGTTGACTGAATAAATACTGACAACGTATTATACAGTGTTGTACTGTTGATAACATCTTACGCTAGAGATTTTGATCTAGTGTAGGACTAGTGCAAAACCTATTTCAACTAAAAACTCTGAAAGCGCCTCCATTACTTCTTGCTTTGCGCATTAAACAAACATAATCTGACTGTTTGTGGTGAAAAAGGTGGACATGTTCATTTACTAATATTGAAATGATACATTTGGAAAAAAGATATTTTGTGTCTTACCACAAGCACTTAACACAACAATTAACTTCAAATATGTATGTATGAGATGTCAAAGAATTACCATGTGGTTGGACGCTCTGGAAAAACTAGAGTTTTGGATTGTATTGTTGTTGTCACTTTGCTGCCCAACTTTTAAGCCAAGATGGACGAAACTTCTACGAATGAAATCATCAGAATCAGGTTTCATTTATTCATCATTTTATGCACTGATGCGCATCCCTTTAAAGGGCTGTTTTTTTTTTTATTGAGGTTATATGAGGTATTTATCTAAAGTTACCAGACTGTAAAAAAAAAGGTAATTTTACCTTACATACAAGAGTTGCCAGTTCACCGCTGTCTCCATTAGTTGGTTTGTATGTGTTATTGTGTGACTTTGGTGTTTTAACACGTTAGTCCAGATCCAAACTAATGTGCAGCGGTATCAAATAATCGAAGCAGCGGTAGAGCATCTACAATTACTGTTTTTCTCAAAGGAGTGTGGTGGTTTGAAGAGAGCAATATAATGGCTGCAGAGCCATCCACAGCACTTCTCATTCCCATATTGGCTAAAAAATTAAACATTGAAGTCCATCCTTGGACGTGGAAATAGTAGTTTGACAAAACAATCTCAACATTTATCTGGTTCTATGCACAGAGTCTATATACCTGGATATATTTTGAAAGTTATGGTAAAAGCTACTTAGAGGACCTTGTGTCAGGACTGTTGTGTCAAATTTAATCCAAAAGTCAAAGTGCAAAATTTCACTTCTAGCAGTTTAATAAATACAGGCCCTGAATTTACTAGAACTATTTTTATCCTTGTTTCCTTTGCTTCATTCATCGAACATAACTCTGCTTCTGAATGTGGGGTTAGTGATAAATGACAGGCTAATGAGCCATTTCAGGAGTAGATGGAGGTTACCAAAAAAAGCAGAGAGAAATAAAGAGGGGTCACCATACTGCATTTACATTTACCCAGTTAGACTCTTAAAACTCCATTAAATGAGACTGCACCTCCTGTCACATGAGACCCTTCCAGCAACAGGCTGCTGACCCATTTTTCCTCCTCGCCCACAGTTTGTGACAAATTTGATCAGGTGTGCCTCATAATGTCTCTGTGTGTCAGCAGCTGAGAGAAATGATCGCCCTTTAAATATAAATGGGGACGAATGATTGATGAGCTTTGTACTCTCACTAATGAGTGTGTGACGGTGACTGCAGGCTCAATGTTATACATACAGTGAGGTTTTGATACACACACACAGAACACACACAGAACACAGGTTTTGACCATGTTAGCTTAACTCGTGTAGTTCCACTACAGTTTTTTACTCACATTTCAATACTGAGTTCACTTTTACAAAACTTTCCACACGGTCAGCAGGGGCAATCTGATTAGCCAGCCCAAGTGCCAGCCCTTTATCCCCACTTCTTCCACTCCACCCTGTCTTTCAGAGGCTGTATAGGGCTCCATTTTAAAGCTAGAGAGAAGATACTATACATATATATATGAAATCAGATGACCTAATGCATCCATTGGTACCAGCTCCAAAGGCTAAATTTCAGCAATGGAATAACTGGCATTGCCATTTTCAAAGGGATCCCTTGACCTCTGACCTCAAGATATCTGAATGAAAATGGGTTCTATGGATACCCACAAGTCTCCTCTTTGCAGACCTGCAAATCATACTTTAACTTGCTACCTTCTGCTATAACACTGAGCAAATATTTTAACTTAACTCACTAATCAGAAGGTTGTTGGTTCGATCCCTGGTTGCTCCCACTGTATGTCAAAGTGTTCTTGAGCAAGATACTGAACCCCAAATTGCTCCCATGCTGTGCCATCTGTGTGTAAATGTAATACAGTTTCTGTTTGTGATGAGCCTTTGCTATCACTGTATGAATGTGTTAATCTCTCTTAGTCCCAGACTGGTTTACAGCCCATCCCGGGATGGTTTTCACATTTCCTTCCACCTTGCGATCCATTCCTCAGTCCCATAGAGGAATTATTTTCCTCATGTGGAGAGTTTATGAACACCAACTAGATGATCAGATGTCCTTCTTGGACGCAATGAATGCTACACGTGTGGACACTGCACACGCAAAAGGACCCTCCAGGGTACAATGGAGAAAATATGATAAAGTGGACGTTAGTGTGCTAACCCTAACCCCGACTAAGCTCCTCAATATACAGCTCATTCTCATTGACATCATCACATGTGTGTCTTTGTGAAATAAAGGGTTAAATAAATAATAGCTTCCCATGTGTTTTATTATGGAGGCGTAGTTATACTTAAAAATAAAACAATTTTAATTTTATGATGTACAATAAGAGTTAATTCTGAGTGTTTTTGTTACATTAGTGCATTGTAAGGAACTGTAATGCAAACTAATTTGAGAGTCATAATATGTTTCTATATCAGTATATTGCAGTGGGGTGGTTTCTGGAGCTTCAGACCCGAATCTTATAGGCTTTTAAAATTCCACTTTGTGTGAATCTCTGATCTCTGAATGACCCACAGCAAAGGTTCTATTACTGAGGAAATATGGCCATCTATTACAGTATTTTGGCATATGGATTCACATGTAGCAGACTGATCAGGTAAACTTTCATTCTGTGAACTCTACTCAAGCATAGTTGAACAAAAATATTTTCCAAGATTAGTAATGCCGTTTACAAACAAATTCCTACCCTACCAATGTTACGTAACTTCAAAATAACATCAGAGGATTTTGGCTTCTTTTAAGGGGGAAGAGTGAAAATTACTTCCAACATTTGTTGTGTTCTGGTTTCAGAATGATGGAGACAGCTGGAGAACAATTAGATACAAATAGGATGTATGTGCAACAAGATGATTTTAAGCATTCTGTAATCTCAGATGACTTGAAAAAAAATGGTGTATATAGCTGCTGTAAATGGGGAAAACAAATCTCCCCAAGGGAGCATGCCCCTGGCTCCCCCCAAGGTTTGGGCTAAGCCCTGAATGTTTACAACTTCTGGCTCCATCCCTGCTTCTCATTATAATCTGACTTCCAATCGCCACAGTGTTAAGATTTGTGAACATCTGTGTGAATGCCATGTGCATACGTTTATGACTACTGCTACCATGTTATTATAAAAGAAAGCGTGCAAAAGTATGAGTTACCACATGTGAGTGTGTGTGCGTCTGTGTGAATGTGCAAAAGTGTGTGCAGACCACACAGTTTGCCTACACGGTGTGTGTGTTGCACATGCATGAAACACGTTTTATTGTAAGTGGGTGATTTTGTGTGTATTTCCTGTTTGCATATAAGTGAGAGAGTGTGTCAATGTGTGTGTGTGTGCACGCAGTGTCCCTGTTTTCCAGTGAAGGACAGAGTTGTGATGAGAGGAGAATGACCGTGGCTGGTGTCACATATTCAATAAAATAGTCATCTACGCTCATAAAAAACAAGGACACTACATCTCCCATGGACAACAATGAAATACTGCTCTGCACAGTGGCAGCTGCAGCACACTTCCTCCCACCCAGCAACTCTTCTCTATTATTACCAGTGATGTTGGCTATTTAAACAGCAACACAGTGTGACCTTTGATCATCATGAAGAAAACAACCAGTCATATAAACAAACATTCCCTTCATGATAAGCAGGATGTCAGTTCAGCTTTAATTAATGGATATTTGTCTATCTGATTAATATTAGACGAGAAGCATTTAACATAGCCAGTTGTGGTGTGAGGAAAAAAAATAAATAAAAGAGGGCAGTCTCAGAGAGAAGCAGCACTCCTTAGTAGTAGTAGTAGTAGTCTTTTATAGTCCACCAAGTTTAGTTTAGTTAGGATTGGACAATATGGAGAAATTTTTTCAGCTGTAACTATTACATTTTCTTGCACCAAATAATTAAAAAATTAATTTCAAAACTTCAGCATTTGAGTTTGACTTAAAAATAGAAAAACTGAAGATAGTTGGCTTGAAATTATGAGTTTCTTTTCTTTTAGCTAGCTAGTTAAAGTAAAACGTTCATTGTACTTTGTTACTTCCCATCTCTGGTGTTTACACTGACTAGCTGTGCATCTGATCCCTACAGTTCATAAAACACTATACATTATGATAATACTTATTAAATGCTGGTGGAAACAATAAATACTGAATGATCTCAGATACAGTACAATAACTCATGTTTGACCAAACTCTATTTGATGATTAGAAACGTTATGTTTGTGTGTGTGACAATGGATCAAGTGACTAATGTGAAAAGGGGCATTCTTCGTGATGAAGGTTCTCTGACCCCCTCTGTTCAGTCTTATCATTCTCATCATGTTCTATTTCAAGCAGCAAAGGGATCTCTGATAAACAGAGGCTACTCTACCTCCCCAGCAGCTATAGCATATACCCACTAAAGAGCCTGATATTTCTCTCAGGATTTGTTGGAGATATGCAGCATGTGTAAAGAGTTTTTTTTGCTAACAAGTAGTAAGTAAGTAACAAAATATTATATGTGGGCACCTGGTTAGCTCAGTCGGTAGAGCTGGTGACCCATGTATGGAGTTGCTGCAGCGGCCCGTGTTCGAATCCGACGTTTCGCCCTTTGCTGCGTGTCCCCCTCTCTCTCTGCCCACCTTTCCTGTTTATCTTTGGCTGTCACTATCCAATAAAGGCAATAAAAGGCCAAAAAAATAACTAAAATAAAAAAATAACTCTCTTTTTCTTACTCATCATACCTTTTGTATGTTTGTGTGCGTCCAGCTATCCCTACTGTCTGAACTGGGTTTTGGAGGTGTTCTGCTTTACATTGACCCATGCGACGCTCCCTCTGGCCGACGCACCTGGCATCAAGCCTTCAGAGTCACTCTCAACCCCGGAGGAAACCCTGCCATTGGTGAGTGTGTTTTCATGTGTAAAATCCGGTTCTACCAAGTTGGGGAACAGACAGGAAAATGTAAATTTTGGCTGGACTGGTCAATTTTGGTCAACAGCATCATGAACAATGTAAGGTAATAATCAAAAACTTTCTCTTTCTCTGTGCTTTATTTTATTTATTGTTATTATTTAATGACACAATTTGCTTAAAAAAGTATCCATATTGCAAAGATTCTGGAAAGTAAGCTCTCTAAGATGATGGCTGCTTTTCCATATTGCGTCTTTAAATATATCAAACTGAGGGGACAGGGAGTATCCTTGTTTAAGTCCTTAGCCCTTCGACAAAGGAACCATGACCACCGACAGTGGCTAAGACCACACACCCTTCAGCACCTTCAACAGTACATCAATGGTCGTACCCTAACGTTTTACCAGTACTTATAACTCTCCTGTTGTTTCTGTGGTTAATATAATAACCAGTCATCATTCACAACTTCTTCAAAACCTATTTTATTAACTTCTGTTTTATACCATCATTGACTGCAGACTCCTCTTAACCAGTAGGGGTCACAAGTGATTAAAAACTGCTTTGTGTTTCTGCTAGGGCCAACGTATGTGGGGATCATGCTAGTGGTGGCATTTTCACTTTGAGATTGATATTTTACGTCACTGGTGTTTTGGTATTGTTCCTGTCCAGTTTTGCACACCAAGGTAATGCTTGCTGGAAACACTGCCAGCCATGCACTTCCTGTTCCCCACTCACATCATCTGTACACTTCTAGTTTTATAATGGTTCTTACACAAAGAACTGCAGTACACACAACACTATAGCATATACAGCATAATAATACTGGCGAAAACTGGGTCTTTTACAGTCAATCTAACATATTCATAGAAATATTGCAATGCCCACATTAAATGTGCAGTTTATCCATATTTCACAGTACTACACCCTTCAATGTACAACATGTAATTTCGGCCACTAAGTGGTCTCTCACATCAGAACAATAACAAAAACGAAATTTGATGACATCATGAAATAGTATTGGATCATGAGTGTCTTCACCACCATGGCCGTCATTGCAGTCAGCTTCTCCTGGTTATGATTCCTTCAGTGAAGGTTTCTACCGGGAGGATTAAAAACGGTAAAAACACTAAATAAAGCAGTTCCACCTTAAAAATATTGGGGTTTCTGTTGGGCAGACAAATGACATCTTGGAGGGGTTGCGAGAGATTTATAACATTGCTCTAGAGTTTATAGACATTTTAGTGCAGAAATATTACATATTATAGTGTATAGTGTTAAGTTGACTCTATCTTTTTTACTATGATAAACCAAAAATATAAAAGCTGTACAACCCACCTTTCTTAACCAAAACTTAATCCATGAAATTCACCATTTTCAAACCTCTACTGAAAGATCATTTTATTATTAATACTAATTTAAGCATATCTCAGTTCTCTTTGGAATCTTTTCAGTGCCTGAAACTTACTCACATTTCCTACCTTGGCCGCAGGCAGAGGACGTTATATCTGTCTGTATCTCTGTGACTCTTTTCTACTGTATTTAAATCACCCTCCCAAGATGGATGACCTCTCCAACACTCAGTCTTGTCCCCACTTCCTGTTTTTCTGCCCGGTCTGGCCGATAGGGACGTGTCATTACCACTGAAGTATCTTTAGTCCTTGTAAGAGTCCCAGTACCTCAGTGGCAAGACCCAGTAGAGCCCCAGCAGATGTCTGGACTGCTGTGTGAGCATGTGTAAGAGTGTGTGTGTGTGTGTGCGGGGTTAAGTGGAAGAGAGAGAGAGACAGATGCTGGCTGTCTAGTCTCTCACCAATTGCAATGCTCTCAGGTCCCCGGTGCTACAGCTCAGAAGAACAGAAGATGTGGAAAGAC